CCGAACCAGGACATTCGTTGCAGTCACCAAATTAACAGGTGGGTAACGGGGGATTGCAAATCATTCTGCCTATAGCATCTCTATAAATTGTTAATGTATCCTCACCATTTTTAGTCAATGTTGCTAATTCACAGCCTAAAATCATAAGTTTAATATTCTGGTGTATGCTACAAACGCATACACTATGTGTTCCGCTAGCCCTTGCTAATATACAATTTTTTGGTCTTAAGCTAGCAAATTTCGAAAATCCAATTTTTAAGTTTGAATTACTCGCCTTAAAATGATTATATAATTTTTTCAAATTATTAAGAACTAACCTTTTTTGAGCGTTCACTCGTTCCCCCTTTTCAATGATAGATATTCAATCTTTTTTTCCTGGTAATACCCTAACTTCATCACTGCAAAATTTTTTTTTAACAATATCAACTGTTTTTCGATTGAGATATTTTGCAGGCTTTCGATTTGGAGTTGAAAGAATCCCCTTTTCTTCTGAAATAATTTTGGAATTATATGCCATATGATATGTAGCGTTGAATGTCTTTTTATTTTATTTGCGCTCCAATTAGGAGGCAGTATGGTCAGCAATTGATATTTTTTATTATTAGATAAATTAGGATATTGTAATTTCATGTTATTGAGTATATTATTATTATCTTTTGTATCCGATTCTGGATTGTTAATTATTATATCTTTTGATATTTTTGCTACCTTTTTTTGGATAATTTTTTTTGGTTAGTTTTTTTTCTTAATAAGAGATATTCCAATATCATTTAAAGTTATATTGATTTTATCTATTGATGTTGATGCTGTGCTGTTATTTACATATTCACTATCAGAATTTATATTTTCAATATTTTTTTGTCATAACTGTTTACGACATTTATCACAAATATAGTGTTTCGCCTCAATGTTTGGATATTGTGTCATCCACGTCATGACTTTACGCAGGTTCTTTTTATAATTAAAGTGTTTAGATTCTTTAAAAGGATTTACGCATTTATATATATACATTATAAATAATTTTAAGAAGAAAAATAATTAATATCAAAATATTTGTAAAATAAAAATTAATTAATTTTAGGGCAGGTGCATGAAAACTTGCTTTTATCTTTCAACAATTAATTATTATATTTTCTTATAGGAGATATCGGAATTTTAACTATCTTTTTTGGAAATTTAATCATTTATTATAAAAACTAATTTTTACAAGTTATCAATATAGCAATAATAATAAGTAAACCTATCAAACGATCTATATAATATTTTTTCCTGATATTAATGCTGGAAAATCTTATTATTCATGTTTAAAAATGAAAAAAAGGTTAAAAATAATAATTATAACAAAACACGTTATTTTATAAAGGAACGCCATCTATTTTTTAAAAAAATATTTATTTTTTGATTTTTTAAATCGTAATAATTAACCCATGGCTGTCCCAAGTTAAATTTTTTTTTGAATAGATATAAGGTTAAAGAATAAAAAAATATTAAATTCAAAAAATTTTGGAAAGCGAAACACCTGGAGTTTTCGTGTTTAAAATTTATAACGTAAATAAAAACCGCAACAATATTATTTCAAAAAAATCCTTAATATTTAATAAAAGGCCTTTAATATAGTTACAAAATGACATATAACTTATTGTTTTTAAATCATTATTTTTTAACTTATCTCAATTTCAAAAAATCGTATTTTTCGAAAAAGGCCATTTTTGGCACTTTTGACCATTGATATCTCTGTAACTATGAGTACTAGGAAGCTATGGATTCGATGCTTTCAAATGATATTCTCTCAGCATACAAAATTTTATCGAAATTAAAAAGGTCGGGCCGAAAAGTTATCGATTTGGTATGCATACCATATTTTGTTTATTATTCTTGATTATTATTTTGTATTAAAGAAAATCGATTTTATAAAATGATATTAATTATTTTAAGTTTTTGTTTTTATACGATTGTGATTGTCTTTAACACAAATTAATTATCAACACCAATTTTATTATTATCACTAAAAACAAAAACTTAAAATAATTAATATCATTTTACAAAATCGATTTTCTTTAATCAAAAATATATTAAAAATACAATGCGAAAATCAATACCTAGAACACACCTCCCTTATTTTTCAGAGGTACTCTTGGCAACTACAAATATATATACATTAAATATATACAAAAAAAACTATCATACTAAATATAAGACAAACATTCCTAAAAAAAATCGAAAACTTATATTTTTTAATACAATATATTTTAGCCATTTTAAAAAATAATATAGTTTTATTTTGATAATATAATTATAAATAAAATATAATATAATATAGCGAATAAAAAGATATTTTTATTTATAAAAAATTTTTCTTAATTTTAATAATTGTTTTCAAAATATTTATCTGATAGACAGGAACACTTGGCAGTTAATACGGCATTAGCTATACTAAAAATGCGCTCTACAGGGGCAGATGAGGGGATTGCGGTATTATACTTAATAAACAGCTCTTTTAACGTGGAGAATTAATTAAAAACATATTGTTTTGTTATTTGCAAAGAATTGAGATAAGTTATCCTCCTCCAATCCATTCTCTACTCTCGACAAATAAAAAGGATATCTCGAAATTAACAGTTCTTTAGGGTTTTCAAAGCATTTTTTTCAATAACGCTATAAGTTTATTTTTAATAGGTTCGTTCTGTGGAAGTTTTATCAATGGCCATTGAAGTTTGAATGCTGGATGTATAATTGCAGAAAGAACATATTGATCCTTATATATATGTTCAAATCTTTAAAAAAATAAAATATATGTAATAATTGAGAGTGATAGGTTTAATACCTTTTATTAATCCCATTTAATACGGCGTCTATCAATGATTGACCATATTTGAGGCCACTAATTTTTTTAATTATAAAATAACTATCGTTATTATGGGGTCAAATATCCCAAATGCATTATTTTTCAAATTTAATGATTTAACTTAATTATAATATAAAATCATAATTAATATTAAAATCAAATGTCGTTTTAAATTGGAACCTGAAGATTTTGACAATATAATACTTTTGGAAACATTTTACACTTGGTAAGCATTGGATTAGTTCCTTCAATATAGGATGTTAATGTAAAACATTTATCATATTTGGCCATAGTAATGATAATTCATCTGATTTTGGATTTTCAGAATCAGATGATGAGGATTAAATAATAATATCCATGCTTATGCTAATCTATTAAATTAAAATACAAACAATATTCAAATTAATAAACTATGTGTTAAAAAAATTGAAATGTGAAAAGGAAAGCCGATTAAAAAATATAAATAATACATTTTTTTAAAAAATTCGGAAATATTAAATTTTTCAAATAAATAAAAATAAAAATATTTTTAAAATTGAACGAACGTTAAATTCGAACGCGTTCGTCATAAAAAAGGAACCCGTTCACGTTCAAAGTTCGTCAAAAATAAAAGGAACGTCTTTCATCATTTTTTTTAAAAAAACGAACTTCGTTCACGAACGCGTTCGTTTACAACACTAATATAAAACACTATTTATACAAAAAAATATATTTATTATTCACTTCATTTAAAACCAACTCTGCAAAATTTTCTTGTACTTCTTCAGTCACCATATTATTCTTGCGCATTATGGGTCTCCTGAATTTTTGAGTATATATCTTCCTCGTCGCCGTCTTTCTAACATTGAAATCTTTGTTATTATCCACGAGTAGTCTTTTGATCATCCCACCTTGAGGAGGAATATCCGAAGCCTTCATTGGGTTCACAGAGTAATTTCTTGGCGCATTTGACATCACTTATTTAGAATGAGCTGTAATATTAGATCTGACATATAAATTGTTTGGGCAATGCGTTACTTTATGCCCTTCGATCCCACAAGAATAACAAATCAACGAGAATTGAAATTGTGGTCTACACTTGTCTTTGTTGATAACATGACCTCAGTTGCTTTTTTAATAATGAGTATCTATCAAACGAAAAAATTTTTTTTATTTAACTACACAAACAAAAATTTTTCCTTATCACCAACAATTTATTTACATTTTATCCTCACATATATAAACAAAATTTTTTCTTTATTACCAACAATTTATTTAAATTTTATCTCCACATATACCCCATCACTTCTTTTATTAATTTACCCCTCTTTCTCAACAATTTAATGAACATGTTTAACATTTTATTAAACACTATTTTCTTTATTTTCTATTAACTATTTCCTATATAAAATATTTTTTTTTAATAACTTTTTACTTTTTCAATAATAACAATAATTATTTGCTTTCACACCAAATTTGTCTCTTAATTCTTTTATCATTTTCACTTTTAATAGAGATTGCACGAAGAACCTCATGTGTTACATTTTATTTTCTTCTCTTTTTTTAAACAAACTACGATTCTCCCTTAGCTCATACCATTCCTGTCTTTTGTCATCCGAAAACTTCGACATTTCCCAATTTTACCTATCTTACCATAGTTTGGTATTGAAAATCGTCGTTCCGCAGGTTTCTTTCTCTATTTTGTTTCCAACTTCTCCGGAATAATTGGTTAGGTCTCCCATCTTCCCCGAAGCACTCTTTAATTGAAAAACCTTAAAAAGTTGCATTTCCAATCTCGGTAATAGAAATTTTTAACAAAAATATTAATAACGGGGAAAGATCTAAGGCGCCGGAATTCTAATATAAAGAGACATTCAATAATGCTTAAAAATTGGGTATCACGCGTCGAGACTCGCGTTAGAATTATTCATAATTATATCTAAATGTTTAACTTCATCATTGATTGTGAACCTTTGACATGTCTAATTAAACTGTGAGGCTGATAGGGATGCTATCTTAGTTCTCTGCCAAACTTACTTTTTAAATCTAGGCTGAGTCGGATAAATATAAAATCTGTTGAAGACCTTCTTTGAATTTACAATAACCTTTTAATTTGAATGAGAAAAAACCATATATTCACCAACAAACAACCTCTTATTTTTAAAATACAAAACAGAGGTGGCCGGCATTATGATTACCGCCTCCCATAACCCAGAATGCGATAATGGCGTCAAGATTATAGGGAACAACGGCGAAATGTTGGAAGAGAATTGGGAGAGTTACGCCACCATTTTAGCCAATTGCAAGTTAGACCTTCCTTATTAATTTTATTTATGTCTATTTCGATTTTATTTTTCAACTTGATTAATTAATATAAAATATATTATATAATTAAAAAAAAACTTATTAGATATCAATTTTTTTTCGCAATAACCTAATCTTCAATTCGAAAAAATATATCAGGGACGAAGAAATTGTGAATTCCATCGACATGATTATGTCGGACTTCATTATCCGGCTAGGGAATAGCTTGGTGTACTTGGCTCACGATACCAGGTTTTTTTTATTTCCCTCCCATTAAATTTTTAATTTATAAATAGACAAGAGATCACCTTGACAGTGTTGATTGAAATAACTATAATAGGGAATAAGGTTGGGACAAAAAATACCTCTTGAATTTATAAAAAGAAAGAAAGAAAAGGTAGTCAAGCAACATTTTATTTAATGGGCAGAGAAAAAGGAAGTTAACAGAATTATTGTATAATCAGGAAAAGAAAGATAGTCAGGCAACAAAATTATATTTTAATGGGCAGAAAAAATTGAGTTAACAAGATGATTGTATAATCAGGAAAAGAAAGTTAGTGGTCCCCAATAGATTACGGCATAAAAATGTGAACCTTTAAAGTTTTCAGAAGATTTTAAACAATAATCCACGTCATTATGATTCACCATAATGCCATTAAATTTTTTTTACTCCTACATTTAATATTCGTTCAGAAAAAGTTGCCCTGTCCTTTTGGAAGCCTGCATATTGGGGATCAATGCTATGGGTGGAAAATACCAAAATTATGGTTTAAAAAATGATTTTACCTCTCATTGCTAAAGCATATTAAGTTTCATATAATTTAATAGATGTAATTTTTAATATCCAAATAATTTTCTATAAATTTTTTTAACCGTTTATTTCCCATATTTGATTTTTAAGAATGCTCTACAATATTTATTTGATCTTAACATGCCCAAATTCGTTTATAAATTAAATAAAAAGCCTGATATATTTAAATATGAAACGAATAAAAATAATTACACATTGTGACTCGTTTAATCTGAGCGCTCTTGGGACAGTGTTTAAGTGCTCATTTAACTATACAAAGAAATAATTTAAGGCCATCATTCATCGAATAATCAATGAGTTAAATCACGTTTGCTGCTCTGTAATTTTAAATAAAATGAAACGAGCTACAGGAAGGAAAGGGGGTAAGTATTAATGATACTCATATAATATGGATTATTTCACTCACTATTTAATTTTATCCTGCTCAAATTAAATTTAGATTTATTGAGAACGACTTTTTTCTCTTTTTGTTTTCGTCACTGATCAAATTCAGTTACAAGCAGAGGTTAAAAAAAATCTTAAGAGATTTTTTCACATAAAATATTTTAGGATCACAAAATTAAAACTGTAAAGAAAGATAAGGATTTTAAAGATATTCGTTATTTATCCTTGAATTTTTATGCATAAAATCAAAATTTCATAGAATTTTTTTTTGGAATTTTAGATAAAATTCGTCTAAAAATTGGGAAAAAAATCTTCATTTAAATTTTTTATTTTGAAGAATATTTCAAACTCAGGTCATACGCTTTAATTTAAAGAAATTGATCTATCCTAGAGACTATGGATGTACCGATATTATTTTATCGGATAGGATTGGGCCGATATGTCATCTTTTTGAAATATTGGTTATCGGTCCCAATATTATAAAATTTTCCGATCCGATCCTATAAAATGGCATCTTCATTTAAAAAAAATTTATTTCATTTGTTTTACTTACTATGTTAATAGATTAATGTTATATAAATAAATGATTTATCAATAAAAATATTTTATATACTTTTAGATTCAAGAATATGAACTATAACTGATCATTATAATATATTTAAATGACTTATGTTATGGTATAGTTTAATTATAGATTTTATACTATTAAAAAATATATGAGAGGAGTAAATATAGCTCTCTTTGAGCTGATTTTTAAAAACGGTTAACTCAATATTTTAACCAAAATATTGGCTAAACCTTGAAATTTCGCTAATTGATGACCTTTGTGCCATCTATGAGCAAAATATCCAGACTTGGGTAATATATTTCTGAATTAGTGAATTAGCCGTTTTTAATAATCGACTCAAATGGAACGATTTTCCAACACTAGATGTATGCATTAAAAATTAAAATGATGAGAATACAAAATCAGATATGATATCGGATCGATAATCGGCAGATGCTAATTTAATATCGGATCAGCCTCCGAAATGTGGTATCGGTACACCCCTATTAGAAAGGAAGTATTATCTCGCCCTATTTTATTACGTTCGTTTCAATCATACTTTTAGGTCTCCTAACGACCCCTCAATTGCATTTCATGGTATACACGGCCAACAGCGATTCCGACATTTCGTATTATCCTGCCGAAAGGGATTACTTCGATAAATTGAAGACCGCTTTTTTCAATTTTTCACAGGTTCGTTCATAAAATTAGCATCTGTCAAATAAACAAATGCTAAACAGCAAAAATATTTTCTAAGATGAGTATCAGAAGTCTAATATAGGATAAAAATACCCACGGGGTTTAAGGGACGCCTTCGCGTTACTTTGGTCACAAATCGCAACAAGATTATTTACAAGAAATCGTTGCAAAACTAAGATGCCCTCCTAAATTTTCATGAAAGACTTATCACGCGTTATATTTAAATTAAGCCCTAAAATTGAAAAAAATTTCATGGTTTCATGTATTTTTAATGACAAATTTAATATCCGACCTTAAATCAGGATCATTACAGTGTCCCAGAGTAAGGTGCAGTTAGCTCATTTTTAATAGTAAAAATTAATAATTAATATTCACAAGCAAAATTTAATATAAGGAAATTTGTTTTTGGTGATAATAATTCCTTACGCACCGATATTGTATATAAGGACTGCCCCGATCCCCCTTACAGAATACTAGTTGGGGTCGACACCGCGAACGGGGTAGGAGCCCTCAAAATGGAACGCCTCCAAATACTTTTGCGGGAAAATATTAAATATTTGGAATTCACAGTGGTTAATATGGGTCTAAATGGGAATGCCACTGGGGATATTGGATATATTAAGCATGGCCGAACTACCAATTCTAATAATCATACTTTAAACGATGAAATTGAGAATAATAATGAAATGGGTACTATCCAGTCTACACAATCAGGCCTTAACTTGAACGTGAGTTTTAATTTATATTGGTATCCATATTTTTCATATTGTGATATTTAGTAATTTAGCATCGGTATTAGTTAAGGAGTGGGGTATAGAGGAGGTATATCGTTATCTGATTTTTTAAAATTAACTATGGTTATTCTTAATCAAAAAGTACTATTTCATATTTTGTTTGACTATCATACACGAAGATCAATCATGTCACTTGAGCTAGTTTTCATTTATTTATGTTATATCGTCATTATTTCTATCAGATTATATACTCGATATTTACTTTACATTGTCATGGATTGTCTTCTAACATTTTTTTAAAAATATATTTCACTTGTGTAACTCATTTAGATAACAGATAAACTCGATATACAGTGTTGTGCAGATTTGATTTAAAAAAATTCCCATATTTTTAATTTATTATGCAAATAAAAATATTTAATTTGCAAAAAATTAAAAAAAAAACATTTATATTCTTAATAATTTTTGCAAGCTAAATAATTTTATAGCTAATAAATTTAAAAAGTAACAAATCTGCACAACATTATATATAAATAAGATTTATAAAAGCCTTGTCACCGTCATAGTGTCACAATCAGAGTTGTTAACTCTCCTTTTTAAAAGTAGCTAGCTCTCGCTTCCACTACTACATTTTTAAAAGGAGCTAGCTCCCGCTTCAAGTAATGGAGTGCCACTCCATAACCATTACTATGATTTTATTTTTCTAAAAGGTATACGAAACAAAATTATATTTTTTTATCAAAAAACTTTATTTATATTAAATGATCTATCAAAATATTTATAACCTTTTATTAGCATTTAAAAGTAATAAATTTTCTAAATTAGAATCTAACAAACATCTACGCTTAGCCCCTAAGACCTCTTTTACAATACTAAATAGGCGCTCCTCGGGAGTACTAGAGTGAAAAGCGAGGTATTGTCTTTTATAAAGACATTTTTTAATTAAGGGAATTTTTCAAAAATAGTAATTTTGGTATCATTATTTAAAAAAATTTGTCCAATATATTATCTTCCTGATGATCAATTTCATGGAATCCAAAAAAATCTTCCAAATCATTTTGTATTTAAAAGAAAGATTTTTTACTTTTAGATGCTTTTTTAGATTGAAGCTGCTCACTTTTGAAAATTAAATAGTTTTATTTGAACACAAAAGGCATTTTGCCCTTAAATTTCTCTGATTATTTTTATTAACATCTTTTAGAAGTTTAGAATATTTTTTGTGTGATGGAAATTCGATTTCTTCATCTATGTTCTTTAAATCCATAATATCTAAAATTATTTTTTGTTATATATCTAAAAAATGAATATTCATATGACTTACACGATTTTCCAAAAAATTTTCAATATAAAAAGGAAAAACTTGATGTTTAATATTTAAAATGATTAGATGAAAAACCAATATAAAACTCGGCTAAACATTTAATAATGGATAAATTTAAATAAAATAAAATTTCATTTTTATTGAATTAATGATGTCTTAATTTAATTGACATTATAAATTAAAATGACTATTTAGGATATTTATACTTATTTATCGGGTCGGACACTTCTTATAAGCTGACCCGAATCTAGTGTTGTTAAACGGCTCGTTTTAAGCTGATTTTTAAAAACAGCTAACTCAATATTTAGCCAGAAAATTATTGCCTAAACCTCGAGATTTCATTAATAGATGTCCAGACCTTTGTGTCATATATGAGAAAAATCTTTAGGATTGCATAATATTTTTTCTGAATAAAATATTGAGTTAGCCGTTTTTAAAAATCGGCTCAAATTGAGCCATTTTACAACACTACCTGAACCCGATAAAGTCTTTTATTCCGAACCCGAGCTTGGGTAATGTTACGGATATCCCGAGAAGACCTCTATATGTGTAGGCCCATATAAAAATATTAATTCTTTTTGGTGAAACAAAATTTTGATCTTACTTGATGTCCTATTTTTAACTTTTCGTTAGCTTTATTCGTTATATAATATTCATTAGCTAAATTTATTTCTAAATTCTTCAGAGGAATGGGGTGAGGCAATCTTCATTGAGATTGGACGGTAAGGAGGGGGATAGGAGGAAATTGCTTTTTAATGCTAATTTAGATTTTCTTTTGTGATTTTGATAGGAGAAAATAACATCATTTGTTTAGAGGGAAGGTCCCTGGGAATTGGAAAGTAATATAGTGAAAAAATGTTGTTAAAATGTAGAAAATTTATAAATGTTGTTTTTAGTAATGATTACTCCCAATCCCTAACAAATATTGTTAATATTTATAAAATAATTTAATTTATATATTAAATTTAAAGAAGCGGTGGAGCGGCGCTCTTCCACTCCAGACCTAAAAGAAGCTAGCTCTCGCTTTTACTCCTCAAATTTAAAAAGGTGTTTTTGAAAAAATGTAGCGGCGCTCCAGGACTGCCACTCCTTAACAACTCTGGTCACAATTTATAATATATTTTTTAAAAATCGTTAATTTTGAAAAGCGTCTGTGGCCTAATCGGCAAGAGACTCGTTTACAAATCTGAAGGCATTGGGTTCAAATCCCAGCAAACATATTTTTTTTCTTAATCAAACTTGGTATTTTTTTTTCTTAATCCAATGGTATTTTTTTTTCTTAATCCAACTTGGTATTTTTTTTTCTTTGGTGGTTTCATCCTTTGAGATGGGCATTAACTAAATTCCCATGGGCCTGAAAATCTTGTCATTTCAGACCTCTGTGGTAAAAGCATGGGAAAATAAAAGTGGCACACGCATATCATTTAGAAATGGATTCTTTGGCAGAGGTAAAATCCATTATGATCTGCTGTTTCCAATGTCATTCTGGATAGAGGTTTGCAATGGGCAAATTTTGGTGCATCTTCCTGCTCATTTATTTTAATTTTGTTTAACTTGCCTGTCCAATGTTATTATTATATTGGTTGATTTGGCTCTTTATGTATTATTTTAATGTTTTTTACATAAACTTATAAATTATGAAAATTAAAATAATATCTATCTATCTTCGATCTATAATATATTTAAAAGCCGTGTCACGCTCTCAGTGTCACAATTTATAATATATATTTAAAAAATCGTTAATTTTGAAAAGTATCTGTGGCCTAATCGCCAAGAACGTCGCTTACAAATCTGATGGCTTTGGGTTCGAATCCCAGCAAAGATCATTTTTTTTTCTTAATCCAACTTGGTATTTTATTTTCTTCAGACCCTATCCGGGTATATTTAAAATAATTAAAATATGGTCTAACCCCTGTACCTGTATCAAAATATATTTTCTTATAATCAGGATCATCATTGTTGAGATGACCTGATTAATTTATATATATATATATTTTTCGTTATTAACTTAATACTAAAATTGATTATTCGTTTATATAAATTACACTGTGTGACAAATTTCGACTTGATTTTTTGGGAGAAAATAAAATAAACATGTTTTAAGACAGTTTTTTATGCATATTTCTAAATTCGCTGTCAATTTTTTTCTAGCACGTCAGGTTTTTTTATTTATTTTAGGTTAAAGTGGCCAAAAAGGTCATTTTTAGCACTTTTTGAAGGTTTATAACTTTGGTTCTAATGATCCCTACAACTAAAAAAAATATCTTAATTTTTGCAGCAAACATTCTATTATTATTATACATTTTTTTATAAAATCCTCACTCAATTTTTAAACAACCTATATTTTTTAAATTTACCTTTATTTATAAAATCTTTTTTAATATAGCTTACATTTAATATATTTATTTATTATATTTTACCGGATAAACAACCTACGAAATTTCAGGATAACGAATTTTCTTCTTATTTTTTTTGTTAAACCCAAATGTACTAATCGAGCAAAAATAACAATCCCACGAATGATTTCTTGCTACGAGCCAAAATGCAGGTTTCGAATAAGGCAAATATGACCGTTTTCCATTTACCCATGAATTAAAAGAATTATAACATGTTTTACATATGTAGTTAGGGGCAATTGGTTTATCCAAATCGCAGAGTGGAATATTGTAATAAATTTCATAAATCCTTTGAATGATTGGAGAAATTGGACATTTTTTTGCGGACAATATATAGCCCGCACAGATGTAACAAAATTTAGAGACACACTTTAAACAAGGGGACCCCGGCATTAATTTTTTGTAGAATATTATATAAGGAGGGAATTTGAATAATATTTAAAATCCAATTTAAAAAAAAATTAATGAAAGAAATTAAATGTTTATGAAAAATTAAGCGCAAAAAAATATAATTCTTCTCCTTTCTTCCTACTCGTTATTTGGCATTATTATTTATTGCCCATACTACGGGTTCAAGGTACTTCATTGGAAAATCATATATTTTGATATAAATTGATAAAAACAAATATTCTTAAATACATCTAAAAAAGAAAAATATTAATAAAAAATATGAAAAAATTACCAATTATTGCATTTTAAATGAATTTTGCTCTAAAAATGCTCAATTCAAAAAGAGTACAAATTAAAAAAGTGGGTACAGATATCTGATTTTGGTATAAATTGATCATAAATGCATAAAATATTACTAAATACAACTAAAAAAGATAAATATTACCTTAATTTTGCTTTATGCAGAGAAAATTCAATAAAAGTGTACAAATTAAAAAGTTCGAAAATATCTGTACCGACTTTTTTAATTTATAGATTTTTTCATGGCATAGAGTACTTTTGAAACATAATTAGAATTAATATATAATCTTGAGCATATTTGAAGCAAAATTATATAAAATTTATCTTCTAAAGTTAATAATTTTGATAGTAATTTAAATTGAAAATTTGAGACCCCCAAAACGAAATTCTTTACCATTTTTCTCAAAAACCAATCGATAAAAAATTATAAAAATTAGTAAATTTATAAAGAAATATAAGTTTAACACTATCACCAATTTTCAGGGATTTTTATTCGAAACTTTTTAAAATATACCCGTATAAAGACCTAAATTTGACCATTTTTGAGATTTCGAAAAGTTGTCTTTATACGGTAATATTTTTAAAAC